AAAAAAAAAAAAAAAAAAAAAAAAAAAAAAAAAAAAAAAAAAAAAAAAAAAAAAAAAAAAAAACACTAAGGGACCCATTTTGACTATAAATATTTGGACATATTAATGGTTTACATTTTACGCTTGCATAGATAAAAGATGCAAAATAATAATAATAATACAATAAAATGGAGAATCTTGAGGTCAACTAGCCTAAATATTCAAACAAATCTAGTGGTCAGCAATATCGGCATGCTCAGATTTATGATGAAAAGTGCCATGTGAAAAAGGACAAGAGAGAGAAAATCAAGGGAATAAAATAAGAGCTAGAAAAGTACTACTGGCATGAAAACAATGGCATATTTTAAGCACATAACTCTAAATCAATCGGAGATTAATGGGGGAGTTACAGAAACCGCCAGCAAGCGCGGCTGAGGTTTGAAAGGTAAGTACCCTTTTCCCCAAATGGCTCAACAACTATTTAATCCTTCCAAAATATGACAGATCTGGGTAATGGGAACACCATATTGTGTGGTATGCAGAAGACAGTACACGGGCCCATAACAAGACAATGATACAACAATAAATGGACAATCATCTTCACGATCATTCTCAAAAGCACAACGATTAGGACCTTTCACCCATATCTAATCCTTTCTTTTCATTATCCTTTAACATCTATCCAGCAATGTGTTCCTAGACAAAGAACATGAAAGGGGCGAATGAAGAACAAAGCATGTCAACAAAACGAGGGCCCCATAAGATAAAAACGACATGGAGGAGGAAGGGTCAAATCTGGCAAAAAGAGGTGAGAAGGAACGGGAAGTAAGGGGAAAGCCATGTGATCTGTGTATCTAAAGCTCAACTTTTAGCTTTTGCCCAAGTCTACCGCAAGACACGAGGTTAGCTTTTACCAGTGTGTGTCCCCCACGCTTTTTTTATGAATTCCCAGGGTATCCTCTCCTGGCTATCTACCCTCTAACTCGGCCTACTTTCAAACACCAATTCTTTATAACAATATCAAATCAAGTTGGGTACGGAAGACCATTTTCTTTTTGTCACTTTGCATTCATATTTCTCAACTAGACATCATTGAATGCTAACTTTACACTTTACTAGCGGTGATATACTTTCCAGTATTAAGAACCCAACTCGTGTGGCAGAAAATATTCAGCAAAATTTCAACAAATAAATGATTAAAAAGTGCAAAGGGTGACCGACACTTACCGTGGATGAGAGAGAAGAGACTGCCATTGGGGAAATAATCGTATACGAGAAGGCGTTCCTCCTTAGCCTGGAAGTAGGCCCTGAGAGGGACCAAGTTGGGGTGTCTGAGCCGCCCAAGAACTTCCATCTGCCGTCCGAATTCCTCTGCTCGTGGGTACCTTGCATCCTTCAGCCGCTTCACCGTCACAATATACCCAGATTCCATCACTGCCTTGTATGTGCTTCCGATGGTCCCTCTGCCCAAAGTCTCCGCCGAAGCTTTCAACAGATCTTCCAAGCTATAAGTCATTTTCTGATCCCCTGCTCCGCAGAACACTAGACTCCCTAGTCCTTCACTTTCCCATGAAAATCCCCCTTGCTTTCCCCCGTTATTAACTTCTCTGCTCCCGCCGGCAGTTCCAGATGTTTCCTCCATCCCCATCCCCATCCCCTCGTCGCCGATTCCTTTGTTTCTAACTTCCGCTAGGCTCTCTCTTTCCCTACATTTGCAAATCATACACAATAAAAGAACGATTAATAGCAGCCCGACAAACCCACCAACGCTTCCTGCTATTATCCTGACCATTTTTTTGTGTCTTGAAGACGAGCTTGAGCTCAGGATTTGTGAATAAGAGGGACTTAATGATGGCGCAATGGCAATATTTCCACAGGGGTTTTGAACTTGTTTTCCGCAAAGTTCCAGGTTGCCGGAAAATGACGAGACATTGAAGCGGAGCAAGGCGGGGGTTTCTGGGATGTCGCCGGAGAGGTGATTGTTAGAGACATTGAAGAATCGGAGACTGGTTTGGTTGAAAGGTGGGATGGAGCCGGTGAGTTGGTTGTCCTGCAGGTGTAGGACATAGAGACGCCGGAGTTTGAGCAGCGAGTCTGGAATGGGGCCAGATATTTGATTACCGGAAAGAACAATGACCTTCAAGCGATGGAGATCGGAGATGGAGCTCGGGAACTCGCCGGAAAAGTTGTTGTCGTTAAGATAGAGGGATTTGAGATTAACAAGACCTGAGAGATCAGGGATTCGGCCAGAGAGTGAATTTCCTTTGAAACTGAGAACACGAAGCTGATCTAAACGATTCAAAATCTTGTGGTTAAGAACGCCAGAGAGATTTAGATGCTCTAAAACAAGCTTAGTTACCCGCCCATTCTTGCACTCTTTCACGCCTTGCCAGTGGCAGACAGAGCTTCCTCGCCATGGAAGCGAGTTCCCAGGGTCGAGAGATTCTTTCAGTGCTAACAGAGCTTCTTCATCTCCAGCCCGAACCAGAGGCAGTACACAGAACAACAAGACGAAGAAGAATGGAGAGTACCTCATTACCATCAGTTTCATCGCAGAGATCACCTTGAAACAGATCCTCTCGCATCACCAAGAAAAGCCCAGAATCTAATCAAAAGCTAATCAGCGATGGAAAAATGGACTAAAAATCTCTCGAGCAAGCAATATTCCCCTTTCTTTCATCTACTCGCCGTAGGAACCTGAACTCTCAGAAACCTTTCTTCTCAACACTGTGGCTTCAAAATGGCGCCAGTTGGAGTCCTTTTCAGAGCCATAAAAATCTTTGACCAAAACAAGGAAAGACAACACAGTCCTCTACCTCTTGCAGCTCATTCGCATTGGCATTGCAAACAGTCTTACCTTCTGTAGACATGGAGTTAAGAACAAGATGCCCTCCAATGGCGATACCCTCGGGAAAACACCGACTAGAGACACTCGTTCACTTGTAAGAACTCCCGGACATCGTGACAAAACCTTCACGTGAACTCACAGACAAGAAATTAAACGATTCTTCTCTCCTCCCCATGATTCGCATCCAATTCTTTATTCAAAACCTGCAGGCATTATTAAATCCCCCCTAAAACAAAACTTCCAAAACACGAAAACAAAAAACCTTACGCAGTCAAAACCCTCGAACCACTAAACAAAAAACACACACCGATTTTCTCAACTTCAACAACAACAACAACAAATCCAAATTTCTCACACTCACCTACTCAACCCGACGAGTTCCGCACTGCAATACCGATGAACTCTTCCGCCAATCAACAATCCCGCTTTGCCATTTCCCCAAAGCTTGTAGGTGGATCAGACACTGGTGATTCGGTTGAGGAATGAGATTGGGAGAGGAGGGAAAGGAACAGGAATTACAGCACTTATAATTACAGATTGAAGAAACGGGGCCATTGCCATGGATGCGTACTGGCTGCGTGACAGTAGTAATAATTCAAGAGAGAGAGAGAGAGAGAAATGGAGAGTGCGCGCGCGAGAGAGGGAGAGAGAGAGAGAGAGAGAGAGAAAAAATGGTGAAGGAATTTAATGGAAAAGAAAAAGAAATTAAATAAGTAGACGAGATAGGATGGAGAGGGAAAGGGAACGCTCAACAACCTGACACGTGTTCTCATTTATTAATTTTCTGACGTAATAATTATTTTCATGTTCACTAGGCGGAGGAGGACGAAGCAGTTATGAGAACCTCCTCAAAATATTTTTTAGCTTTTGTTTTATATTTTTTGAATTTTTTTTATTTAATTTAGATAATATGCATTTAACACATATTTTTTTTTATATTTTCAGTGGATAAATTCTATTAAAATTTATAATACACAAATATGTATTTATTTACTAAATAAACAAAGAAAAATAAATTATTTTGTATTTAAATTTCTGTGACAACATGAAATACAATTTATTTTCATTCTGTATAGCTTATTTATTAGATTTCTTACTAAATATATCTTATTTTTTTCTTAATTTTCCATCTTGAAATTATAACTATTTATAAAATTTTAAAGAACTTCTGAATCTATATATGAATACACGTTTGTATTCTCATATTTTTCAATTCACGCTTTAAACTAAAATAAATCGAACCCTTTTAATTATAAAATTATTATAATAATGACCTATGATTGGAATTTCCATTAGAAAATTAACATTTTTTTTTTTTTTTTGGTTTAAATACAATGATGTTCATATTTTGGCAAACCATGATGTTGAATGATTAGATAATATTTTTGATATGAGGAGAAGATCTTAGATGAAATCAATGTGGGGTTGCCCAAAATAAGTCACAAGATAATGAAATTAAATGGTATAATTTAATAACATATGGTTGTAGTACTTAAAATGCCAAAAATCTAGTGACAATCATCAGTGTACTTTGTAGTTCAAATTATATTTATGGCTTTATGGGTGGGCTGATGGGGATTCTACATTACTCCCTCATATGCCTATAACTATACCCTTCCACTTTTAAAACTATATAATAAATTTCATATTTTCTATGTCACATATTTTAATATTCAATAATTTATTTTATACTAGGTTAATATTATTAAACAAAAATAAAGATTTATTAACTTAGTTTATATTTTACATTTAGATATAAAATAAAAAAATATCTCAAATTTATTTTCAATTTAATTTTAGTCGGTAATATAAGGCCCATTATAGGCCCAGTTTGTAGCCGATGATTCCCATACTAAGAAAGCCCAAAAGAGCTTGAACCCATTGTAAGGCCCAGTTTGTTGAGAGTCCATGTTTGGACATCGTAGGAACCCAGTAAACCTTCACGGCACCCAAGATTAGGTCCCTAGGCTCCCAGTAGTGTGACAATGCCACTAGAGCATCCCCTCCACGTGTCTTCACGTAAGAGTAGGAGACTCCCACGCTGGATATCACACTTTTGGTATGTGTGGACGTCCTGCATTATTTGTTCATGTCGAGAAATTTGTTCGGATGTTACAACATTCTCTATATTTCTACTGTCACATGAATGAAGAGTGGATGTCGTGAAACATGTCTTCTCCTTCCTATAAATAAATTTAAAATTTTTGGGAATAGTTGAGGTACAAATTTTTAAAGATTTAGGGAGCCCACAAAATATATATATGTAATTGGTCATATAGTGATGAGGATTATTGAGAGTGACTCTCACATTCGTTAATTTAATGGAATATCGTAGATTTATAAGTAAGGAATATTATCTCCATTGGTATAAATTTTTTTGGAAAAGCCCAAAACAAAGCCACGAAAGCTTATTCTCAAAGTGGATAATATCCATTATGGAGAGTCGTGAATCTTTAAGCTATAGTGCCCTCTTCGACCATACAAATAATATTATATATGATAAAAGTATGACTAGAGATTTGTATAAATAGGACAAGGAATTAAGCATTATTGTATGCACATCTGTGAAGCAATCAAGAGGAAGAACCGAAGCCATGTCTCTGGTCGGGAAACTGGTGAGCGAGCTAGAGATAAACGCACCTGCTGAGAAGTATTACAAAGTCTTCAAGGATCAATGCTTTCATGTTCCTAATATCACCCCAAAAATCATTCAGCACGTTGAAATTCATGATGGAGATTGGGATAGCCATGACCATGGCTCTATCAAGACCTGGCATTACACAGTTGGTATGCATATATCTCTCCATCACTTTGCTTTATTTTCTTGAATAACCCTATTTCTTGTTTGTTCTTTGTGTTTGATTTGTAAGATGGGAAGTCTGAGGTTTTCAAAGAGCGAGTGGAATTTCACGACGAGAAATTTACGGTAGTTCTGGTTGGATTGGAAGGAGATGTGTTCAATCATTATAAAACCTTCAAGCCGGCTTATCAGGTTGTGCCAAAGGGTCCTAGCCATTGTTTGGCAATTCTGACGATTGAGTATGAGAAACTTGATGATGGTTCTCCTTATCCTTTTAAGTATATTGATCTCATGAATGGTATCACTAAGGATATTGAATCTCACCTCAAATAAGAAGCTTTGGTGTGTCGGTTCGAGCTTCATAGCTATATGTTGTTTCGAAGTTGTATGCTATTTTCAAGTTATCTTCGTGGGTTTGATTATGTATGTTTGTTGCTTTACTCTTCTATTTCGATAAGCTTTATGTTCTACTGAAAAGTAAATAAATTAAAGTTTGTCGTTATGTAAAATGAATGGTGATTAAGTAATAATATGTTTTATTTGGGTATTTTGAATACATCAATCGTGGACATCGTGGAAGATCAAATTATCAACTTTTATTATGATAAGTGGTGCTTTATCTACTCGGTTATACTCAAACCAACGCAAATGATCTATGGTCAAAGTCGCCACTTGACATAGAACAATATCCTAATTGAGTTTGGGGTCAACATGAATATACTTAGGTACAAAGTAGTTAGACAAATATTGGAATCGACCACAAAATATTTTAAATACTGTGATCCGGATGGGCTCTAAGTTCTGGCTCGCATGTGGCTCGAAGCCACTCCCTCAACTCTAATAGTGGTCAACACACAAGGTCGCTCCGCCAAATTTAGTATGACTTAGTTCTGTGTTAAGGGTGGTCAACTAACCTTACATAGATGTTCAGATCAGGTGATGTTATACTGTCCAAACAGATATGATGAGGTAAGGCCTCAACCTAGAATATCAATTATTCATTGTTATGACAATACAAGCTTACGAAGTATGAAAACAAAAGAATTAATTTACTTAGAGATAAGATACATTGTCCAGTACAATGCTCGAACCCGATGAATAACTTCTAGACTACAATTGGGTTTGTGACAAGTAATAGAACCACTCGAAATTTCAATGCCTTTTTAGAAGCTCAAATTGCTATAGAACTTGGGCCCATTCTTCCTAGAGCACAAAAATCCTTGGTAATTTACAAAAAATTGAATGTAATGAGAGCCTACAAGTAGAATGTTGACGTTTTTAGGAATCCAATAAACCTTCACAACACCAAGAAAGACTAAGATAGCTCTCGACCCCTAAGAATGAATGGTGCCACTAGAGTGTCCACCCCCGGCTGTTAATTTCGAGCCTAGCGACAATGTTTTTTTTTTGAAGATTTTCCTTCGATAGACATATGATCAACACATTTCACGCTATTTTCAAAGCGGGCCTTCGAATCCCAGCCTCAACGTGTTTTCTTGTTTTTCTTCCAATCTATCTAGTGGCGTGACATGTCTCCTTCATCCCTCTGGGTGCATGCCTTCGAGCTGCCCCTTGGGCGTTCATGCATATAATTTTCATGAATTTATGAAATTTCAGAAATGATTCCACTTTTCTGTTCTTATAATTTTTGTATCTTTTCAACAGGTAGAGTTTTAATCCAATGAAATTAATTTCATGTTCATCGAAACTTTTGACTTCCAGTCAATTTTGCTCTTTCCTTCACGAATATTGTTCAAAACCTAACACTTAAGGAAATTCTCAGATCGAAAGAAAAATCGAAGTCAAAATCCTAAAATTCTTACATATAGATCCTCTGTTTCTTCTCAGATCGAAAGAAAAATCGAAGTCAAAATCCTAAAATTCTTACATATAGATCCTCTGTTTCTTGGCCGATTTGCGCGATTCAAACCTCCATACCTATTATCTTCGAGATCGTGAGCAACTTTCATGAATTAGCCTTGGCCTAAACATGCCTCTAAATGTTCGGACAACTGGTATGACAGGTTATCTTTTCTACAAACCATATTTCTCTCTTTTTTTTCTTTTTTACTTCTTCATTGATCTTCTAACGAGTGACGACTAATAGTCTTTTATGTTGACCATGATATATATTTTTTTTTCACTATTTTCTTTTAAATCTTCTTGATTCCTAAAAATTAAAAGTCGAGAAATTTGTTCATGTGGAAACTTGGATATTACAACGTTCTTCATATTTCTACGATGTAAGTTTGCATAATTTATAATTATATTTAATTCTAAATAAAATATAAACCGATCCTAATGCTTCTACTACCACATAAACGAAAGGTTCATGTCGTGAAACATGTCTTCTCCTTCCTATAAACAAATTTAAAAAATTTGGGAGCGGTTGAGGTACAAAATTTCAAAGATTTAGGGAGCCCACAATATATATATTTTTTATAAAAGTAAACAATATTTTTTTTATTAAAAAATAAAAATAAAAGTAATATATATATATAATTGGCTACACATATAGTATTGAAAATTGGTGAGTCACACATTGATTAATTTAATGAAAGATCACGAGGAATACTATTTCCATTGGTACGAGGCCTTTTGGAGAAACCCAAAGCAAAGCCATGAGAGCGTATGCTCAAAATGGACAATATCATACTATTATGGAGAGTCGTGATTCCTAACCTATAGTGCCTTTTACGATCATACAAATAATACAAAATAATAAATATAATATATGATAAATTATCACTAGAGATTTGTATAAATAGGACAAGGAATTAAGCATTATTGTGTGCATCTGTGAAGCAATCAAGAGGAAGAATCGAAGCCATGTCTCTGGTCGGAAAACTGGTGAGCGAGCTAGAGAT